ATGGGATGCCGAGGTCAGGCGGGTCTGTCTGGCAGGCGCATCGCGCGGCGGCATCATGGAAGAGAGCTCTGAGGAGCAAAGCCCGTTGGTGTAGCGATAGAAAAGAGCTAGATCGCCGACGGCCCGCCGGTGCGAAAGAGTCCCGAGACTGTCTGTTAGAGAAGAGTCATCGATCAGTCGGACCGCCCTCCTCTGGACAGCATCGAGCATGGACAATGTAGTCGGGGCGGCAGCACCCCAAATGTGTGAGCAATACTCGAGGCTAGGCCTTATCTGGGCCTTGTATAGAGTGAGAAGGTCATGCGGAGAAAAGTACTTCTTAGCCCTAAACAAATAGCCTAGCTTTTTCCCAGCAGCTGCAGCTATTGAAGAGATGTGTTCGTGCCAGATCAGGTCCTCGATGATCTGGACTCCGACCAGCCGAAATGAATGGCTCTTTGGTAGAACTCGACCGTCCATCGAAACTGTATGAGCGCTAGGACGCTTTTTGTTCGTCAAGGTACAGTACTGTGTTTTGGAAGCATTGAACTGTACAAGATTGTTGCGTCCCCAAGCAGTGATAGCCTCCAGGTCTCTTGTCAGAGAAGAAGTCGTCGCTAGTCTTCTTTTTTCCAGCTCAGCGGCAGAGATCGGCTTGTCACTCTGAATTCCTGCATGTAGAGTGCTGTCTACAGCGAAGCTGTGGATTGGGTTGATCGTGCAGGAAAGGAGGTCGTTGATATGTAAGAGAAACAGTGTTGGAGCCAAGACCGATCCCTGGGGAACACCCGCGTTGACGTTGTGGGATGAAGAGGAGAATCCGTCAATTACGACGGATATCTTGCGGCCAGAGATAAAGTCAGCCACCCATCTACAAAGCTTTTCTGGGAGGCCGTAGGATGGAAGTTTGCTTAAGAGGGCAGCGTGCCATAGCTGATCGAACGCTTTCGTGATGTCAAGAGCAACGACATGAGCCTCACCATGAGACTGGATGAGTTTACTCCACAGTTGCGTGACGTAAGCTAGGAGGTCCCCTGTGGATCGTTGGTGCCGGAAACCGTACTGCCTGTCGCTAATCAAGCTGTGACGTTCGAGGTAGTCCAGAAGCTCGCGATTTATGCACCTCTCCATCACTTTACTTATAACAGAAAGCAGAGCTATAGGCCTGTAGTTGTAAGGGTCGGTTTTAGATCCTTTTTTTGGGATGGACTGTACATGAGCAAATTTCCAGTTTTCTGGGAAGGTGCCGGATTCATAAGATATCTGGAAGAGACGCGAAAGAACTGGAGCAAGCTCCGCTGCACATCTCTTCAGTACAATGGCAGGAATCAAGTCCGGACCAGAAGCTTTGTTGATGTCGAGCGACAAGAGCACTCGTCTTACGGTCTTATGCCTGAATGTTACTTCCCGCATAGTGTGGGGAACCCTTTGAATTGACGGCACTTGGGCGTTGGTGGGGACGTCCATGGTGGAGCTGGCAGCAAAGATCTTGGCTAGCACTTCCGCCTTGGCCTTTGAGTCGAATACAATAGTTCCATCCTGACACGTAAGTGGTGGAAGGCTACTGTGTGAGAAGTTCTTTTCAATCTGCTTGGCCAGCGTCCAGAAAGACCGACTGCCATTGCGCTGCGACATTACCCTGTGCCTAACTTTTATATCATGCTGGTTTTTGGCATCGCGAACCGCTTCGTTATATTTGTTTCTGGACTCGACGTCGGCTTGTCTATTCTCTACAGTGGGGTTTTGTAAGTAGGTTCTGTGGGCCTTGATCTTCTGCTGGCGAGCAGTGTCACACGATTTGTTGAACCAGCCGTTGGACCCTGGTTTAGGAACTTTCACTGTGTGAGGGATGTATTCCTCCATTCCGACGTGGATAATTTCGGTTATTGAAGAACAGACAGTCGACGCATCCGCGTCGGTGAAACAGACATCTCTCCAAGGAAAGCTAGAGAAGAAGTCTCTGAGCCCCTCCCAGTCGGCATGTCCGTAATGCCAAGTTTTGCGGCCTGTGCGAGTTTCTGCTGCCACAGCGGCTTCTGACCGAAACCTAACCTCCACAACACCGTGATCTGAATTACCCAGGGGGGACAGGACAGCAGTGCTGTAAGGGGCAGGATGCGTGGTCAGAAAGAGATCTAGCAGGCTACTGGCGTGTGACGAGACGCGGGGGAAAAAAGTAGGGCTCGTCACCAGCTGGGTCAGCCCTTGAGTAAGAGCGAACGCTTCGACTGCACGACCTGCTGCATCGGTCTTATTTGAGCCCAACCAAAGCTCATTATGGGCATTGAAATCACCGAGAAGAACTACCTCTGAAGCGGGGTGATTGATGTTCAGGAAGTCGATCTGGACGGCGAGGTATTCGAGTAGGTCATCCCAGTTATGGTTCGAGGGAGAGCGATAAAGGCAGCAAATAAATTTGGGTGATGTTTTGGAGTTGAGGCGAAGCCACAGAATGTCCTTCCGGTCTGATTCCAAAGAAAGATCCCTGGAGCAGGAAAGACTGCTGCGGACAAAAGCCACAACTCCCCCGTTCTTTCTCAGATTGGAGTGCACCTCGTAGTTTGGGAAGTTGAGATGGTTAATCGGTGCAGTCTCTGAGATTTTTGTCTCCGCCAAGAAAAGCACGGCGGGACGATTGGATTGCAGGTAGTGATGAACAGCATCAATGTTGCTGTTGATCCCGCAGATGTTCGAAAAACAAATTTTATCTTCGATGTTGTTCCCTCGAGCCCACCCTCCACCCGGACATTCCGAGAGTGGAGTGAGTTTACGTCCGGAGTTTTTAGTGCTCGAGGGATCCATCATCATTAATTTCTTTGTTTTGGTAGATAACCGACTGCATAGCTTAGGTGTGGAAACATGCGGACATTTATAAGACACCCTGGGAAAAGCTAGCGGGTGGTACTGCCTCGGTCGACTGGTCCTTGTCTACCACCTTCTTTTTACGTGTTAGTGATGTTAAATAGACCTAAAGTGGCCCGTTGGCGGACTTGTACCGCCACCCGGCAATCGGTACTGAGGTATTCCTTAACGCGTGCACAATCACTTGGACGGGAAGAAGTTGTGGATACAACAACTTCCGGAACAAGCATTTGCCACGGCCCTCGCTCAGTTGGGGTGAAAAGGAAAACCCCAACTATACGGACACCCTGTATAAGCAGCGATCAAGTGACCATATTTGTTTTGACGTCGAAAAAATAATTCTTCATACGTTTTAGGTATACACAATCTGGAAATCATTGTTTTTCAAGCTTTTTTTCCCCAGTTATATGACACTTCGCTTCAGAGGGTTGGTGTCTCATGAAAGATTTGACCCAACAGTAAACAGGAAAACTAACAGCCACCTAGTTTATATACATAAAATAACAGTTGTTGAACAGTTCACTTTTTAAAGTGTATAGAACCTTTATGTAGGATCATGTCTATAATACCATGATAGCTTTGAGCTTATTTTATTACATACACTTAAGTATTTACAATTATATATATATGTAACGTAATTCAAAACCATAATTCTACCGCAGGTTGGTGGACTTTGTTGCTTTTTTACAAGACAGATGTCAATGTCAATGCTACTCCTTGAACGGTAAATGCCAAGTTTTGAAAGGATGCATAAATATCTGGAAGATTGAGTATTCTAAATTACTATTAGTCTACACCAGAACAACATTTACTTGTGTTCTTCCATTTATTTGATCCAACAAGTTTGGGACGACATTCAAGTACTGCAAGTTTAATTAAATTTGATACTACTTAGATGTATAGTAAACCAGGGGTCAATTATTGAACACAGACTAGTGTGGCCGATATGTCACCGACTGGTTTGTATCTTAAATATTTGAGAAACGAAATAAAATACGTCAAATCCCCATTAAAAAGTTAGGAGCCGTTAAATCCGGTGTCCTTGGTAGCCAGTTGACATCACCAAATCGAGAAATTAAACGTCCCGGAAAAATTGTTCGCAAAAGACTCATTGTATTCCTAGCTGTGTGACAAGTTGCTCTGTCCTGCTGGAACCACACGTTTTGCAAGTTAAATTGTTGGATTCGAGGAGTCGGAAAGTTTTGCACCATATCACGCTGGCGCTCGCCAGTGACAGTAAGAAAATTACCTGCAGCGTCTTCAAAGAAGTAAGCTCCCATGAGATAGTGCATAATGACGTGCGAGGAATACCCAGTTCATGAGAACGATGTCTAGTAGACGTATCAAGCTTGCTTTGTATCAATTTTTCTAGTACCTCGTTTCAAGAATTGACCCTCTGGAAGCCGTAGATTTCATGCCAAGTTCTTAAACAACTTTCGAGTTGGCATGTTCAACGTTCAAGTTGCAAATTTTATTATTGTTTTTATCTTTACGGTTTTAAATAACCTTCAAGCAACAAAAGTGCTCCTGGAGTTCTTATTAGAAAAAATATTTTCTCATGTGCATGTTTGTTTTCTATGCATCAAATATCTTATCAAAATCGATTAAGTACACTAGTAGTAAAATACAGTAGTTGCTAAGTTTATAATACATGTTGTGATATTTTACAGCTTTTACTAATGAATTTATGCCCGATCAGTCTTAACAGTAAAAAAATAAAAGCTAGGTTGAGTTGTGCTTGATCGTTCTAAGAGGTGTGGCGAAAATGACTTTGTGAGTTAACTAAGCAAGATGAACGTAAAAAATAAAGATGTTGCGTATATGAAGAAAATTTGATATGCATTCTCAAACCAGACATTATCTACACAACTATCTGATCTCAATGTTTAGAATTCGATCATAAGCGAAAGTCGATTGCTACAAACTTTGTAGCAGTTCGATAACCCAGTGAAAGAAATTGAAAAATATGTAGCAGTCCATGGAAGCAAGAATCATTCTTTGCTGATAAATTTATGTAACGTTACGGTTGTCCCAGCGATGTTAAGGCGAATGTCACGCGATCAATATTTACTGAGATTCGTACCATCAGTATATACTAATCATTCTATCAGTATCAGTAGATCTCTGCGTATCTTTATTCATCAATCATTACGCAAGTCCTGGCTCTACAAATATCACGTTCTATGGTAAGTACTGGTGGATCACAATACATTCTGTAACGCCCTCGTATTACTGGAACTCTGGGTACCAGCGAGATTCATCCTCGTACATCAACTAGAAAACTCGACAGATGGCCAGAAGTGCGATCGACGCCTAAGGCAACCAGAATTACGCAACCATATATGGAGCGTTGTCGCGTTTCTGGTCCGTTCGCTACACCATTGCAAATCATCGACGCGTCTGGAGATACATGTGATGCCATCTAGACCACTTCTATGAAGGTTCGCGAAAATGCTAGAATGTTCCTCGACTCGTCGATAGGGGAATAAATACCAGACTAGATGGCGAAAGCAGTAGTCCCAGTCCAGACAGTAAACGAGCATCGACCGACGCGTCAACGTAGTCCACTCGACATGATTATAAAAATGTCATAAATTAGTTGCAGGGATTATAAATCAGTGCAGAGTAATGAATTATATTTTGGATAGTAAAAACAGTGTTATCGTTACACCGCTGATAATCTGACATTCGCATGAAATACAATCCTTTATAAAAAGTTGTGATTTAATATCGTATTTATGTAATGGGCGATCCATGAATTACTCGTATCGAAAGCCGGAGACGACAGATTGACCAGTTTTTCCCCAGGCAGTTCAAGTGTATTTTCTACGGGAAAAGACAAATCTTCCAGCTTGTTCTTGTTCTTACGAACTATCATCCGGGTATTCACAAAATAATATTATTTTACATAATATGGACTTATTAACATAACATTTTGATAAACATGTTATGTTCATCCATACAAAAGACGCTACCTACATATGTCTGTACGCGTTTATACTTTTCAGATAAGTGTCCAATTTCCAGTCTCTATTACTTTATGTCGCACTGCTAGTGAACATCACTGAACTCTTATAATATCCAGACCTGTCCTGTAGAGGAGACTTCACTTCTCTCTCTGCTTGCTGCTGCCTAGACTTCCTTTCTGATTCCAGTTCTTGAGCCAAGGTATCTGGAACAAAACGACTAATATAGCACAAGCATACAGGCAACGGTCGGTTTTAAGAGAAATGGATTAAAAGAGCTTCATTTCGGAACAGGATAGCTACTAGCACAGTAAATTTTGTTGCGCACTTCATACTGAGTCGAATGTCACACGATCAGTATTTACTGTGGTCTGACTGGGGATGTACCGAGTACTCGGTTTGTATCCGGTACTTAGCATACTCGGTTCATTTTACTCAGTACCAGGTTTAGTATTGTATTACTTGGCGGGAAAATTACTGGGTATGAACGCAAGACACAACATTTGTAAATCAAACAATTGCAGATGTGATGTATAAAATCTGGTAGTGTATTGGGCAGGTACTATAAGAGTTTTAACTAGAACCATATTGTAGCATTGCCTATTCGAATTTCTTGTTTGCTATTTCATCTTTAATATGGACACTCCAAATACAACAAAGATCACAAATCTGATTTGATCCCATCAAGATATTCAATAGATTTAATTTGTTCCCTATTTATACACCTCCAAAAGCTACCTCATAAACCTGTAGGATTTAATTTTAGTGTTCGTGATGCTGATGACATGGCAGGAATTCTATAAGTCAGTTTTTTGAAAATTGAGCAATTTGGAGCTTGGCGTTGCCTATCTTCGTCAGAAAAGTACATGTAAGATGTCGAGTATATACCTTTTGATTATCTTCCAAATGTATTTGTTCTGTGAAAACTGATACTACAAAATGTAACGTCAAAATATGGTTCCAATTTCGAATCAATATTGTAGCTACTGAATTTCGTAATGAAAAATATATGTCTAGCAGAATCAGAAATTATGAATATACTGTCAATCCACTAACCTTCCACCGTTTACTCACAAAAAATTTCCTGAGCTATACAACTGTGTTGCGGTTATTTCTTAAAATACTCGTACTACATCATTATGACAACTTGCTTGCCATGGGCGTGTGATTTGTGTTTACCTTCAATGATCTTTCATGTGTCTGCATGCGTGTGTCCAAGATCGAGTAACAGTTGCGTTACGGATTGGATTGCTCAATGTGCAATGTCCCTTAGGGAGGTTCATCTATGCGCGTGGTACCATTAGTAAATATGTTTACCTATCGTACCGTATTATATCATATTGTTATGCAACCACCAAAAATAACTGTATCATTATTATTCTTGACAATTATTTACAAGTTATCAGGTTCACTTACTCACCGATAGGTATATAAGTTTTTTGATAAATGACATCAAGTAAATAGGCTGCATTCATAGCTGAATGAAGAATAGTACTAATACTAAGCGTAACCTCAGACAGCAAATAATGAGCGAGCGTATAACAATAAAAGGATCGCTTATATACGTTGGGATAACCAAAAAAACCGGAATTAATTTTAAAGAGCTTTTTTTCAACTCTTTCACAAAGTAACCTAATGTCCTTCAAAATACTATCCATTGCAGCTAATAAAGTTGTCCCACCGTACCGGTGCTTCCACTCGAAACGCACGGAGCCAGGCCAATCGAATAAGTTGCGTGAGGCAGCGGCACCATGCCATTTTTAGCCAGAAACTGTCGAAAAGAGATGGTTGTGTGCGCAGGTGCATTAACGTGGTGGAAGATCAGTCTCTTGACTGCCTGACTGGGTCTTTTTTGTCGAACACTGTTTCGCAATCATCTTAAAACCTTCACATGAAAGGTCTGATTGACAGTGTGACATGGGGGAACAAACTCGGAATGGACCATGCCTTTGACATCAAAAAAACAAATCAGCATTGTTTTGATGTTTGATTTGACTTGAAGACATTTTTTTTGGACGGGGTGACGATGGCGTCGTGCATTGACTTGACTGTTGCTGCGTTTCTGGGTCATAACCGTAGTAGCACCAAGTCTCATCAGCAGTGATGATATTCAACAGAAAATTTGGATCAGATTCAAGCTGTTGTTTCAAAGCGCGACATGTTTCAACTCGGTGTTCTCTTTAATTGTCGGTCAGAGCCCGAGGAACAAACTTGGCAGCAACCTTTTTCATTCCCAAATCTTTTGTTAAAATTCGCTCGATCGCCAGGACAACCCACTACTTATGGATAGTTGATCGATTGTCATTCGACGGTCGGCAAGCCCAAGCTCTCGGATTTTTTCAACATTTTCGTCGATTCGGGCAATTGATGGACATAATGAGCGAGATTTGTCATAAATTGACATGTGGCTATTTTTAAATCGAGCAAACCACTCGTACACCTGAGTTGTTCCCATAGCATCATCTTTGTAAGGTATTTTCAACATTAAAACAGTTTTAGCAGCATTTTTACCAATTAGAAAGCAACATTTCACAGCTGCACGTTGCTCACTGAAGCTTGCCATCGTAAAAAACGAAACAAGCACGAAACAGCTCTAGCAAAAATAATGAATACAGAGGAACGAAACAAGCCAGATCGACAACTCGGGTGGCACTGAACTGGTAATGAGTTGCGCAGTACGGCTCTAGGGGCAGAAATGTGTACTACACAAGCTCCGCCACTGCAATGCTGTTCCGGTTATTTTTGGGTACCTCCTCGTACACCGATGGTCATACGCCACTCATAGCGTTAAGAAGTCCTAGTGTGACATCTACACGGATCTGGTAATGCCAACAAGAACTGAACACACTGGCGAAACACAACATAATAACTTTGATGTGGGTGCCAGGACACTCAGGTAACGCGGGAAATGACAGGGTGGATGAGCTCGCAAGGAAACGATCATCCACACCCTATATAGGTCCAGAACCTACCTTAGAGGTGATAAAAAGCAAAATAAGGACCTAGGTCAAATAATGGGTAAGAAACCAGCATAAGGCGCATTGGCATTCAGTGACTGGATGCAGGCATGGGAAATCATTCATCTCGGGATCATGTCCAAACAAGACTGCGGAGCTGCTCTCAATGATTAAAAACCAACTCCGCACAGTCACAGAGCTTCTAAAAAGACACAATGGCCTGTTCGATGAAGACCTTAGCTGCAGACAATGCGGAAGATGAACAGAATACCATACATTTCTTATGTGAGTGCGTGGCGCTGGATCACAAAAAACAACTTTTCGGGAAAACAAAACTTGATACGAGGAAATTTAGACCAGAACCGGCAAAAAACTGTACCAAACACTTGACTGCTGGAATGGGTATTGTAAACTCGAGGAGCAAGGCACAATAAGCCCTAGACGCTGCCATCGGGGACTTTGGTCGGATGCCTCCCGGAAAGGGAAAAAAAGCCTAGCCTCATTCGTCGTACGTTTCGAACTACCATTCCAAATAGTCGAAACATATTAACCCTTTGCTATTGAAGATACGTCAATTGTGATTTTCTCAACAGAAAGTGCTTAATATTCCTGGGCTATTCAGAATCGCAGTGCCGAATGTGTACCGCTACACTATATCTGCTTCTAAATCACTATACGAAAAGCATATTTATCCAGGGTGTAAAGTTAGTAGTGGAAGTCAGATGATAGTGGGCCTCAAAACCTATCGAATGAACCCCTATATGTGTGTAGTTCAGTAGATATTTGCAGTTCTGTGAAATTTCGAAAAAACGGGTTAATGAACTTTCAGTCGCAATTAGCCATTTCGAAAATATTTTTTAAAAGTAAGTTCAATTAAATCTTCCACATTTTTGGTAAATCGCCATAAAGAGGCGCTAAACACAATAGTTTCTGTACTTGTAGGTGGCAAGGAGTCTATTGCGTTTCTTACGTTTATCGCATCACAACAACGAATGACATGATACACTCATCGTAGCAAGCTGAAATTTTCAGGGTTTGTGCTACATGGATTGAAATAGTTTTTACAATAAAATGAGTAATGAAATACAACGTCAATTTTTTTACCGCCCTCCAAACTTGAGGGATGGAAGAGATTTCTCACAAAAAAATGAATTTAAGATTTTTTGCGTTGATTTCTAATTAGCTCTGTCAAAAAGTGACATAACCACTGCTAAAACTAACCATTTGGCTAATTAAAAAAAGAACAGCCTAAACCTAATGGTTTAGTTGTAATTGCGATTGAAAGTTAAATATCCCGTTTTTTTCGAAATTTCACAAAATTGCAAATATCTCTGAACTATAAAATTTCGGACCACAAATTCGATTTATTCGATAGATTTTGAGGCCCTCTATCATCTAACTTCCGTTGAGCTACTACTAAATTTACACCCTGTATCTATTAGCGTTCTTTTCTTCCGATGCATCCCATATAGACAGTATACGTAATTCACAAAAGCAGATGAATACGCACGTTTTGAAGATCCAATTCGCTTAGTCTGGGTGTGGAGGTGCTATAAACGGAGGCGGGAGAGTTAATTTAGGGCGAGATGGCATTACATCAACTCTGGCTCTGGCTGACTGAGGCTGGTTGGCTTTGGTCTGGCCCGCGGCCATTCAGAGCGATGTTATCTTTAATGTCGCAATTTCTCGGCTCGTTGTTCCCTTGTCACCGCTGGAGCCTCAGGATTCACGGCTCCACAACAGAAATACGACCAACCCGACTTAATCCGTTTGTATTTCCTGCAGGATTTAATTAAGAAGTTTTTAGTAAGTCGGGCTTGGTCTCGGTGCCCGCGGGGCTCCCCCGTGCTGCTATAGTATTTATAGAGTAAGATTTGGGGAGAAGAAAAGGGCTGTTCTGGAATTAGCTGTGTTAACGGATTATTTCTCAGTTTCATTTGCATCAGCAACAGGGCTGCTTACTTTACAAAAGTTATCATTAAAGTCACATCAAATCATAGGATGAGATCCCTGTGTTGCCAGACATTACTTATTTCCTGAAAGTTAAAATGTGCAACACCTTCATATCTGCTAAGTTGGGTAAAGGGCTGACTTACAGCTACCAACTGCGAAACGGTGAGTTAAAGTAGGTCTTACATTCTGATGGTTGATCTATTCATAAATATACACATACGTGGTGTCTCCAAGGTTGGGACTTTCCTTTACGCGGCGTATAGGTCTTGAAAAAATAGCGGTTTTTTCTTAACTGA